GAACCCGCTGCAGTCAGGAGACCCATGAGCAAAGGTGAGCCTTTGCCTGCATGAAAGAACATTACAAAGGCAAACAGCTTGTATGCGCTGAGTGGAAATTAAATCTCGGTCAGAGCAAGGTGTGTATTGTTTTTTATGATTCTACCCAGACCCTCTGCATTTTGTTTTGATATGTTTTGTTTTGTTAAAGACAGGGTCTCATATAGCCCAGATTGGCCTGGAACTTGCCTCTTGGGTGAGGCTCCCTTGAACACCTGATCCTTTTTATTTTCTCTTTTTTGGAGACAGGTTCTCCCTGTACACCAGCTGGCCTGGAACTCACTATGTACATCAGGCTAGCTTAGATCTCACAGCGATCATCTGCCTCTGTCTTCTGAGTTCTGGGTTTATTTATTTTAAATATTTTATTTATTATTTTTATTTTATGTGTGTGAGTGTATTGCTTGCATGTATGTGAGTGCACCCATGTCGTGCAGTGCCGTGGAGGTCAGAAGAGGGCTTCGGATTGCCCTGGAACTGGAGTTAAGGGCGGTTTGTAGCCGCCATGTGGGTGCTGGGAATCGAACCCGGGTCCTCTGCAAGAGCAGTTAGTGCTCTCAAACTGCTGAGCCATCTCTCCAGCCCCATGAGTGCTGGGTTTAAAGGTATGTGCCACCACGCATGGCTCCTGATTCTTTTTGTCTTCACCTCCCAAATGCTAAGATGATGGATGTAGAAAACCATATCTGGCTTTTGTGTGTGTGTGTGTGTGTGTGTGTGTGTGTGTGTGTGTGTATGCGTGTGTGTGTTCATGTGTTTATATAATGTGTGTGCGGGCGCCCATGCACATGTGTGTGAATGAAGGCCAGGGGTTGGTAGCTGGTGTCTTCCTTAATTGACTTTCTCCTTACTGTTTTTAAAATTTAAGATTTATTTACTGGAATTGGAGAGTTGGCTCAGTGGTTAAGAGTACATACCGCTCTTTCAGAGGACCCAAGTTCAATTTCCAGCATTCACGTCAGGTGACTCATAAATTCCTGCAACTCTATCTAGCCCAAGGGGTGTTCAATACCTCTAGCCTGCACTCACATATACATACCCATATGCAGACACACACATATACACGTAATAAAAAATAATGGAAAAAATTCTTTAAAAGAGATTTATTGATTTATTTTAGGTATATGAGTATTTTTTTTTTTTTTGTCTTTTTGAGACAGGGTCTCCTTGTAGCCCCAGCTGTCTTGGAACTCACTAGGCAGACCAGGCTGGCCTCGATTTCACAGAGATCTGCTTGCCTCTGCCTCATGAGTGCTGGAATTAAAGGT